GGTTGTTTTCGCTTTCTATTTACATTTGATACAATAATTCAGGACAAGATGGATCATATTTAGATGGAGAACAAGTTTCCAGTGGCTATATATTGGAGCAGAAAATAATATGTGAGGGAGATATTTCCATTCTACATTCCCAGTAAATGCTATGCTAACAAAAATATAATATACTTGAATGAATCACTGTCTGAAGGCAAAACATGCAGGCTGAGCTCACACTTCATTTAGCAGGAACAGAAGCTGTTTACCAGATGAACACTTTCAATAGAATGAAGGCTGCATTGCCTCAGAATTAAGCTCACATTATGATTTCTGAAGTGTCATAAACTCAAGATGATTATTTGCAGTTGTTTGTTCTTATCAGTCTTATTTTCCAATTATTTACTCAACATATGACCTCCTAAATTCCTGACAATATTCATCAAAACAATATATTTTAGGGTCCTATTGATGTCTCGAGTAGGTTCTTAGAAAAACACAGTAGCAACAGTGATGATACTGTTTTGCGCAGCTCCCATGGCTATATAAGAAGCTCCTCTGTCAGATCGGTTTCTTCAAGCTTCTGTGCCTTGTTCCACTCCTGAGCTGGTCCTAGTTTTATCCTTCTTCTTCTTCCGTCCAAACATGGTTGGAAGCTCGAACAGAGTGGAAAGCTTCCCAGATGCCACAGACCTTGAAGCCTCCATACCCTTCCCGACACCAAGCTTGACACCTTTTCAGGTCCACAATGTGTCCGTGCCACAGGAACAGACCACATTTCAGTCTCTCAAGCAGAGGCTAGGTGAGGTCTTCTTCCCTGATGATCCTTTCCACCAGTTCAAGAACAAGTCTTTCCTCAGGAAGATGGTCTTGGCGCTGCATTATTTCTTCCCCATCTTCCAGTGGGGCTCTGATTACCACCTTAAGCTCCTCAAGTCTGATGCCATCTCAGGCGTCACCATTGCTAGTTTGGCCATCCCACAAGTATGAATTCCAATCATGTTCTATTGTTCGTCTCCTATGGTCATAATCTGCAGAACCCTTACTATCTTCTCTGCGTTCTAACAGGGAATTAGCTACGCTAAGCTTGCCGGTCTGCCTCCCGTCATCGGCCTCTGTAAGTCTATGCTACAAGCTTAGTCATCGTTTTCTCGCGATCCGACCATGATGATGTCTATGTCACTGTTGTTCTTACACTGAACTGGATGCCACAGATTCCAGTTTTGTGCCACCATTGATTTATTCTGTTCTTGGGAGCTCAAGAGATCTCGCCGTCGGCCCGGTATCAATTGCATCGTTGGTCATGGGATCCATGTTAAGAGAGGTGGTCTCCCCTGATAAGGAGCCTACCCTGTATCTTCAGCTTGCTTTCACGGCTACCTTCTTTGCTGGTGTTTTCCAAGCCAGCTTGGGTCTTCTAAGGCAAACTTCTACCTTACACCGAGAAATGCTCAAGCCGCAAACTCACTGAGATCACCAAAGAACTACTTCCAACATGATCTCACAAGCAGTTGTTGGTTCTTGTAGGTTGGGTTTCATCGTAGATTTTCTATCGAAGCCGACGCTGACCGGGTTCATGGGCGGTGCGGCGATCATCGTATCACTCCAGCAGCTGAAAGGGCTGCTCGGAATAGTTCACTTCACTACAAAGATGGGATTCATTCCGGTGATGCAGTCTGTTTTCGAGAATAGGACAGAGGTAAGAAGAAGAAGAAGATTTGTAATAGAATGGATGAGGATGCTTTGCCAAGTTTGTGGTATCTTTGTTAGCCAATACTTATCGATCTTGTTGTTTGAACAGTGGGCATGGCAAACAGTCGTCATGGGTCTCTCCTTCCTGGCTTTCCTGCTGATAGCAAGGCATATAGTAAGCCCTCAATCCGTCTTCATGTTTCATCAAAGTCTCTAATTCAGTAAAGCTAGTAATTCCCAAAGAGGTTGATGATGTTCGAAACAAGACAGCGATTTATATCTGCTGGTTTACGTTTTGTGTTCTTGCATGGAACAGAGCCTCAGGAGACCCAAGCTGTTCTGGGTATCAGCAGCTGCTCCTCTTACCTCGGTGATCCTCTCCACCATCCTTTCCTTCATCTTCAAGGCTCCAAACCATGGCATCAAAACGGTAAGAATCCTCATCACAAAAGATTCGAAATTCTGAATCTTTCGAGAGTCACTTCTTCTTGTTCTAACATCATGCTATGAAGCAGATTGGGCACTTACAGGAAGGGGTGAACCCTCCCTCGGTGAACATGCTGGACTTTGGAGGCCCCTACCTGAGTCTTGCAATCAAAACGGGAATAATTACTGGAATCCTGGCTCTCACAGTATCATCCTAAACCTTTCATCTCATTCGAGCAGAATGCTTTAGACTAATCGATACCTTCCGATGTATATACACAAAGAGAGACTCGGTTCCTCTCCGAATAACAAGTCTGCATCTACTATGGATTTACAGGAAGGAATGGCCGTGGGGAGGACATTTGCTTCCCTGAAGAACTATCAGATTGATGGTAACAAAGAGATGGTGGCCATAGGAGCCATGAACATGGCAGGATCATGCGCTTCATGTTATGTCACAACTGGTAACACACGATCGAATCGACATTCTTGTTTGCACAGAAGACTCTAATCAAATCGGCATGCTTCGTGTAAAGCTGACCATCAAATCTCTTGTTCTCTTGCGACTCAGGTTCATTTTCTCGATCGGCTGTGAACTATAACGCTGGGTGTAAAACAGCACTATCCAACATAGTCATGGCATCTGCTGTGCTCTTCACAATGCTATTTCTCATGCCACTGTTCTATTATACTCCCAACGTGATGCTGTCAGCGATCATTATAGCGGCGGTGATCGGACTGATCGATGTCCGAGGTGCATTCCTGCTGTGGAAGGTGGACAAATTTGATTTCCTGGCTTGCATGAGCGCTTTCTTTGGGGTTCTCCTCGTCTCGGTGCAGATGGGTCTCGCCATAGCTGTAAGCATTCTCCATAGCTCGACCAGCAAGAAGAACTAGCTTAAAGAAACCGAAGGAAGTATTCCAGTTTGACGATCAAAATTCTGCAGGTGGGCATCTCATTGTTCAAAATTCTGATTCACGCTACCAGGCCGAACACGGTGATCTTGGGAAACGTCCCGGGAACGAACAGCTACAGGAATCTGGCACAATACAGGGAGGCCGTAAGGGTGCCGTCGTTTCTGATCCTCGGCATCGAGTCCCCTATCTATTTCACCAATTCGATGTATCTGCAAGAAAGGTTGGTCGTGATCGTCCAGAATCTGTGTATCACTACACTTTTTCACTGGCCTCATTCGGTAGCTAGAAAAACTTGCAATTCTTTCTATTCGATGCAGCAACTGCCAATCAAATTCCTTCGTACAGAAGTGTTTTCTTGTTTTTGCATTACGACAAACACATGTAATTCTTGGTCGCAGAATCTTGAGATGGGTGCGAGAAGAGGAAGAGAGGATCGTGAAGTCGAACGAGAGCTCCCTCAAGTGCATCGTGCTGGACATGGCTGGTAAGCAGAAAGAAATGCTGAAGTGGGAGAAATTTGGTCGATTGTTTGTACATTAATAATAAGCTTCGACATTCACACAGCCGTGACAGCAATGGACACAAACGGCATGGAAGCGCTCTCAGAGCTGAAGAAGACGTTCGACAAGAGATCTCTTGATGTAAGGAATTCTGCACCATCATCCATCTCGAACCTGGCTTTGGAACTTAGTAACAGGAATCTCTGAAAATTCTGCAGCTTGTACTGGCTAATCCTGTTGGAGAAGTGGCACAGAAGCTGTCTCGTTCAGGTACTTGGGAGCTTTTCGGATCGGAACACATCTACATGACGGTGGGCGAGGCCATTGCTGCAGCCTCCTACAAGTGCCAGACTTGACGTAGTCTAACCTACAAGATTAAGGAAACAGATAGCTTACGAAGAAAACAAGTCAGTTTGCTTGCCAAAATCATGAACTTGTGCCCTTACTTATCTGAGCACTACTCAGAAAAGATTTTGAAGGCAACAGAATAATTAATCATATAAAGATGATTGTCACATTTGTGGCCTTCACATAGCCTCCTCGCTCTTTACTGGTGTATGATCTACCAGTGCATTCCTGTTTATGTTTGCAAAATGATGTCTCCTGTATCCTGTGATTCATTGAAGATGAAAAGGAAGAGCTAATGCTGCTTGAAAATTCAACTTCATCGACTGTGGAGTTTATCTAATAATATCTAATATCTTGTGGAGCTTATCTATGGGTTATTTTGAAGGTAAAATATGGACCGTATTGGACCTTGTTTTGAGCTGAACACTGACTGGACCGAGCCGGTACCCGTTTCACGTAAGTTCAGGAACGGACCGGTCCATTGAAACGTGTTATGGTAAGTTCAAGTGGGCTGCAAATTAGATGGATTAGTCCAAACCCAACCCAAAAAAAATCGATTCGGGTCAAAATCTTCCGACCATGGTTTAAGCTCGGGTTGGAAGCCGGTCCAAATTTGGCATCATTTTGGAGATGAGAAAGCAGCAACAGAGAATCTATCGAGTCTCAGAGCTGGATTCTTCCCATGAAGCACATGAACATGGAGACAAATGAGAGGATACAATTTGTGTAAGGTAGCAGATGGAATCAATCTTTTTAGATGAAATCTCATGTGTTGCTAGATGAGATGAGTCCTCTTTGTCAACACTTCCAATTGAGGAGCAGAACAGAGCACAGATTAGGATTCTTGGATGAGTGGAGCTCAAGTAAAGGGCAAATGATACAAGCACCATTGCCATTACACTTTTTGTCACTTCAATGCATTGCAGGTCACTGGAATCTATGTAGCAATGACAAACCAGCACCTAATGAAAGAAGCATCAGGAAAGCAAATAAAAGCCATAATTGTGCCTGAGAGTTGCTGATTCATATTCATTAGCTTGTGGCTCATACAGTTCACAAACAGTTTATGTTGTAATTGATTGAGAGCCAATGCAGTAGCTAAACACCCCCTCTATGATCAAAAGAGAAAGAGGGTGGAGCAGACCCTGCTATGTCCCAACACTATCATGAACACAAATAAGATCGGCAAACAGGTGAATGTACATGGTGATCATCGACAACCGCTGAAGAATTCACGCAGACAGCTCCTGAGAGACTGGATGATCAAACTGTTTGTGTTGCCAATCTAAATGCTCATGTTATTAATGGTGTTAGTGATGAGCAAACATCCGGTCTACGAAGCCAGTTTCATATCATCAAGAAATGTCTCCTCATGGAATGCTGAAGCAGGAGAGACTGATGAAGTGATTCTGGATTTCTCTATCCTTTTTTCGAGCGAAGATCCCCGGTCGCGACATTTGCAGCTACCAAAGGCTTCCTTGACTCTGCAATTTTGCACAGAAATTTTAAGCTACTTCATGAAAATGCTTGGAGCAGTAATATGATGGATGGTTCATGTGTGCATGGCAAAATAATGCATCTTAAGAAGAAGAAGATGAAAGAGATTGGAGATGATTCCTGGACTAACCTATGCATGCAGATGTGCTTTCCCCCCTCCGAATTCTTCTTGCAAGACCCTTCATTGTCTTTCCTCTGCTTGTTCCTGATGGTTGGTGATTCAATGCAGTGGCTGTCAAGTATGCAGTCTCCAAAAATGTGAGTCTTCTTAGGGTTAGGACCATGAGATGTAATGCAAGTGTAATCCTCCGATTGCTCGATCTCGCTTGCTGAAAGTGAACTGATAAATTCATAGGAAGAGCTAAAACTGGTGTCCTCTTTGGCCAGTGACCAAGAATCCATGGAGTTCTCAGAATCTGATACAAGAACTTCGGAATTGGACCTAAGGATGTTGCCGATGGATTTCGTAAGGAGCAAAGATCTACCGGTATCCACCGGACATGAATGGAGCAGTCCAAGTTCCTCATGTTCCAATCTACATCCTTTTAATTCTATGGTCATCCCTGAGCAAACTGAACCAGGTTTGGATGATCCAATCCGAGGTTGCAAGGATTTTGGAGCCGCTCCCAAAGAATCATCTCCCAAACCTACCTGATGTGATTTGGGGATTGAGATGTTGGACCTCATCTGTGAAGCAAACACAATGTTCTCGTTCCTGGGGAACCCTAACACCTTCCCCCATGGACTGGATTCATCACCGAGAGCATCAATCAGGCCGAGGCCTACCCTGCTGCCGTCCCAACATATGATCCGACCATTAATGCCAGAGCTAAAGCCCTTGTCCAAAGGAGATGCAGGGCTCCAAACTGCATCGGACTCTAACGAGCCCCTGCTGCCAAACCTCACACCGGTCTTCTTCACCACACCATCAGACGAGAAGCAGCAGCCTGAGGCTGAATGATACATCAGGTACCCTTTGCTTTGATCCTTGAGAACTGGTCCGCTGCTTTTCCTCAGCATCGTCTCCAAGCTCCACCTCCTCTTCGTTGCTTGCTTCTAGGAAAGCTACGAGTCCCTCCTGGGTGTCATCAAAAGGTCAAAGAGATGAAGGCTAAAGTGTCAATGTCATGCACCGAGACAGGTAAAAGAAGGCTTTCGATCACCAGAAGAAGGGAGCACCGAAAACATTAAACTATTTGGAGAATGCAAGAGATGGATCATCTCTGAATCATCAGAGGAGCAGACCTGCATAGCACAAGGAAGATAAACCAGACAGAACAGCAGACTACTCCATGTATCTTTCTCTAGAGAAACCAGTCTTGATGCTTGAAGGTCCAAAACATACAAACAGCTACACTATGAAAGGAAAATAGAAGAACATGCATGGGTCATAAACATAATTCAAGAATGAAAGAGAGAGAGAGAGGTAGAAAGAACATATAATATTATAGGGAGTGAAGCCCACCTTTCCCACTTGTGTGTGTGTGTGTCTTCCTTGTGTTCCCTATCCCTCACCCTCTGAAACTGGAAGAGAGATTGCTGATAGGAAGAAGACCACCAAGTGTAGTTAAAAGTAGGTTGACAAATGTATCAAAAGGTTGCACTGTGCAGAGCCACAAACCACCCTCTCCCTCCCCCTGTTTTAGCTGCATGCATCAAAATCAGTGCAGCAGTGTGGCTTCAGAAACACTCCTCTGTTTCATGACCATCAAAAACCAGACGCAGATTTTGACTTGATCACCCATAAAAATGTTTGAGTTGACACAGACTTGATGTGTCGGATCCATTAGCTATAGATCATCCTATCATGATTTAATCAACCTAGCACTTAAAAGAGTAGGAGGAGAATTAGTGCACTTTAATTCATGTTTAAGTAATATAATACCAAAAGAACTCTTAATTGTCAGTCTAATCTAAGCAAGATTATAGCTCTACTCTATCTATTGTTTTTATGGAAATTGTAAGCAAATAATAGCAGTTATAGACCATGACAACCCTGCTTTCCATAGTCACTTCAAATCAACTATCAAAGCCAATGTATACATTTCTTTTCAGTGAGATCACCATGAATGGTCTCATAAAGCTATCCTCTGTGTGTCTGAATCTTTCTTGCATGTACTAACTAATATGTGTGTGTGTGAGAGAGAGAGGGAGAGAGAGCACTCGGAGATGGTGCTGCAAACAAGATGGGTGGAGCTTTGGCTCGCTTCCATGGGGACATTGATGGCAGAGAAAGAAAGAGAAAAGAATGGACAAAGCGGAGCTTGTGGGGCCAAAATCTACGACTCCTTGAAACACATCGACATTGTCATTGGGTTTGGTGGACGTCGATCTAATCGAGGCCAGGAGAAGAAGGACACAACAGAGTTGGCCCGAGAGAGATGGACTTGTTCTTGAAAATATATATTGGTCGTGACTTCTATCCTAGAGTTATTGCCCATTATATCATCATTTAAATCTTAATCACATAATTTTATATACCTCGATGTCGATGATATACTATTCATTCTTAGTACTTTTGATTGATAATGTTAGTCTATCACAACAATCCTATTCTTTCTAAGGGCACTCTTCATTGTTCTACATTTGTGACACAACTTCATGGTCCTCAGGATGCACTCAAGGCCAGTAAGTGCCTCTCACAGCTTTGCTTTTCTTTCCCCAAGGAAATAATCCACGTAGCTATTAGATCTTCCAAAATGAAATCTCAATCTGGATCAGATATGAATATTTCCATCACTGAACGGGAACTCACAAGCTTCGAGGTGCTTTAGATTTCCCAAGCTCTCATTTGAGGCAGCTCCTTTTTTCTTCTTGCACACAGCAATAGACTAACAAAAGATTCCATGGGATGGAGACCTACCTGATATAAGCTTCTGTTCTTGGCTGTGCTGCCTTTGTTTAATTAGTGGCTCTGCAGTTTCAAGGAAGGAGGAAGCTATTCCCCAATAAGATAGAAGAATTTGGATCACTTTGATGGGCACAAAAGATAACCAGCATGGAAGAGAGAATAGAATAATACTACTGCTGCTCCTTTCAGGTTGATTGGTGTGCAGTGCCGTAAATAGCCTTCCAGTGGGTTATTGGGAGAAGACTCTGTAAATTAATTGACTGATGATTTCAATTCCCAATGATAAGAAGACACCACAGTGTTCCTCTCTTGAACTCATTCACACGTGACAACATTAAACAACAGGTTTTGACTGCCTATAGATAGATATCTTTCGTAATGTTCGTATTAAAATATATATTTTGATTTTGTTCGATCCTTAGTATTAATACCTTTCGTTCTATACTTTGTTTGTAAGTACGTATTATTATTATTATTATTATTATTATGTAATTCATGTGCGTCGGAGGATAGTCACAAAGATTAGTGCTAACCTTTTCAGGAGGCACATACTGTTCTCAGCGCACAGTATTCGCTGCATGCAGCCAAACACACGTAAGAGATCATCTCGAAGAGTCGTTACGGCCGTCCATGTCACGTCGAGATGCGTGCGCATGATGACACCAGAAGCAGAGCTGCTCTTTTATCGGGCCCTCGACGGGGACACCGCACACGGCCACGTCCACCGTCCGATCAACCTGATCTTGTGATTTAAGAGGTCTGTGGAACATTAACAGCACGTGACTCGACGATGGCCGATACGGTACTGTAGTGAAAGAAAACTCCTCTTTACGGATCGTGGACACGTGCTTTTCGGATCCGATTTGATGTACTCATGAGTACGTCTTAACCAATACGGATTTCGGATCGGGTCGGACTCATTCCATTAAGAGCCGACCGACATCGAGAAACCGGCCCCTTCCCCCCACCTTTTCTCCTCGCTTCCTCGTTCTTGATTTGGTTGCCTTCTAGGGTTTCTCGGAGGGAGGAAGGGGGGAAGCGTCGTTCGATGGCGAAGAAGAGGAAGCCGGAGGCGGTGACGAGGCGGCTGGACGAGGTGGACCGCACCATCTACTCGACCTTCCGTGGCGGCGCCAACTCGCTGTCGCAGATCTACACCCAGGCCTTGGCGCAGAAGAAGGTCGCCTTCCAGGCCGGGGAGCGCTACGCCCTGGTACGCCCCTTTCCCCCGTTCGTCAGAACTCGGTCGTTTTGGCCCGATCCGGCTACTCCTTGACGCAGACGTGTTCGCCGTTTGCTCCATCTCGATGGTGGGTGGGTGTGCTTCTTAAGGGCTTTGGTTGATGAACGGGTGTGCTTCTTAAGGGCTTTGGTTGATGAACTTTTTTTTTCATAATCTTTTTTATCTTGATCGAGAGAATGTCATATTGCTCGGTTCTGATGGCGAGTCGGTGCTTGTCTTCATTGTTCTTGTTCATGATCGTTGTTGGATTTTTATTCGGTTTTCATATATTTTTACTGCTTTGATGGACGCAACTGAGGACGTATATTTATGTGATTGGGTGTTATTCGCTCGATTCTGATGGCGAGTCGATGTTCTTCTTTACGCCTTTTGTTTATGATCATTGCTGAATCTTTATTCCGTTTTCATTTATCTTTCTTTTCTTGATGGACACAGCTGACGACGTGTCTTTCTGTAATTGGATATTATTCGCTGGATTCTGATGGCGAGTCGGTGTTCGTCTTTAAGGCTTTTGTTTATGGTCGTTGCTGGCTCTTTATTCGAGTTTGATGTATCTTTCTCGCCTTGATGGATACAACTGAGGTCGTAAATTTCTGTAGCTGGATGTTATTCTGTTGACATCGATGGCGAGTTGGTGTTCTTCTTTAGGGCTCTTGTTTATGATCGCTTATCGATCTTTGTTCGATTTTCGTATAACTTCTTCGCCTTGATGGATACAACTGAGGACGCAGATTTCTGTAATTGGATGTTATTCGCTCGATCTGATGGCGAGTCGGTGTTCTTCTTAGGGCTTTTGTTTATGATCGTTACTGGATCTTTATTCGGTTTTCAGATATCTTTCTCGCCTTGATGGATACAACTGAGGTCGTAAATTTCTGTAACGGGATGCTAGTCTGTTGACATCGATGGCGAGTCGGCGATTTGCTTTAGGACTCTTGTTTATGATCGCTGATGGATCTTTATTCGGTTTTCATATATCTTCCTTGCCTTGATGGATACAACTGAGGACGTAGATTTCTGCGATGGGATGTTTTTCGCTCGATCGGATGGCGAGTTGGTGTTCTTGTTTAGGGGTTTTGTTTATGATTTTGCTGGATCTTTATTCGGTTCATATTATCTTCTTTTGCCTTGATGGATACAACTGAGGTCGTGAATTTCTGTAACGGGATGTGATGGCGAGTCGGTGTTCCTCTTCAGGGCTCTTGTTTATGATCCTTCTTGGATCTTGATTCGGGTTTTAATATATCTTTCTTGCCTGGATGGGTACCACTGAGATCATAGATTTTTTGTAATGGAATATATCGGTCGATTTCGATGGCGAGTAGCTCTTCTTTAGGGCTTTTGTTTATGTTCGTTCTTGGATCTTTATTCTTTTTTCATACGTCTTTCCTGCCTTGATAATTACTACTGAGGTCAGAGATTCCTGTTATGAAATATTATTCGCCAGATTTTGATGGTGTCTTGGTGTTCTTCTTTAGGGCTTTGGTTGATGATAGTTCTTTGATATTTTTGGTTTTCGGTTACCTTTTCTGCCTTGATGGATATATCTGATGTCATGGACTTGTGTAGTGGAACGTTGTTTCTCATTTTTGATGGCATGTCTGTCTTCTTGTTCAGGTCTTCTATTGATGATTGTTCTTGGATCTTTATTTGGTTTTCAGGATACATTTGAGGTCATAGATTTCCGTAATTGTATAATATTCGCTTAATTTTGGTGGGTCGGTGTTCTTCCTTATTTGGGACCTTAAAACATTGTTATTGTTATTGGTGTTCTTCTTAGGGCGTTGGTTGATGATCGGTATCTGTCCTTTCGCACTCGATTGTTATAACTGAGGTAGTAGATTTCTGTAGTGGAACATTATGCTTGGGAAGTTTGCAACATTCTTGCATCTGTTTGTTGTAGGGTTCTCTCCGATGAGAAAACACTAAATGCGTAACAGTAATGCCTTTTTATTTTCCTTTCTTGGAAATTTCTTGATCATTTCACCCAATCAGCTTTTTCTTTTCCTGTTTGAATTGTTTGCATCTCATGTTGTGATCAATTAAGATTACAAGTTTTGTATATACATTATATCTGTATGTATATCCTTCTAGATTTTTGTATCTTTATGTATTGTTTTTTATTTCTTGAAGTTTGTGAAATTTGCCTCTTTGGTAGTTGAAGTTGAACTATGGCTCTTGATGCATATTGTCTCTCTCGTACTAGATGTTGATGGAAGCATATTATTTCCTCATCTCTTTAACAATCTGTTTATTGTAAAACAATTGGATTGAGAGCTGAAAGAAAATAACATGGACTAAAGTGATGTGGGAATCATGAGCTCAACTTGAGCTTTAACTGTCGAGTGTCTCATGGGAACAAACCCATGCCGTTATGCGTTTGGGCGGACCTTTATCTCGATCACTTTCATTCTTTTCACCCTCATTTTTTTTTTAGTTCAGATGATATATTGGATTTTGTT